ATTAGTCTCGTTGATTTTTCCCGTGAGTATCTGTTGTACGTACATCTTCATTATGCTCAGATTTTTAACATCGTCGGATAATTATCTTTTTCGTAGAATAGTTCGTACAACCGTAAACTCGTACTGTTTTAAAAATCTTTAGGTAATTAATCATTACAGGAGTGAACTTGTCGGGGATTTCGTGGGTGTGAATTTTCGTAGAAAGGTATAAAATGATTCGATCTATTGTAGCTGGTTTTTTTTTAATAAAAATTTATTTCATGTTATTCCTGGCAAATCACATGGCGCGATTAATAACTACGATACACGTTCAGTATGGACTCCAGCTTGCTGCGATTAGGCCATCGAGAAATTAAACGAAAGACGAAAGACGGAGAAAGAGTAACGATCATTCTCGAATCTGGCGAAAGTCTGACGCATTTTTATCTTCATCTCAAATTGACTAGTTTCCATTCTCATTCTAAGACGAGTATCGCAGAGAGGTTGGAAAAATGATTTTTCGTTGGAAAGTCAGATTTTATTCAATTTTCATTCCTCCGATCTCGCCCTATCAACTCAAGATCAACTTCAATTGACGATTAATTAGACTCTTTAAAAAGTTTCACATCCCTCATGATCACGACAGACATTGCGCACGACGATTAATTCGTTTCGAAGTTTTTCTTTATACAGAACCAAACCCGCGACCGATGAGTTCACGGCAGGAAACAAGGAAGGCTCGGCGCAGGATATCCCCGATTCTAAACCCGCGAGCAAGAAGGCCATGAACTTAGGGGATTAAGAAGATGCGCATCCTGCAGACCAATCTAACCGGGTTTTTTACGTGTCGCTCACTTAAACATATATTTCTGCTTAATCCATTTCTTCCACAATCGCGGCTCTTTTTTTCTTTTATCTTTCCGTCAAGAAAAAAAAACAGTTTAGATACGTCCTATTATCCTATACCCTCCCTATTTCCATTCATCAGCCATTTTCCACTTACAACAATTACATCTCTTTCTTCTTCAACCCCAACTTTTCTTTCTCAAATAACATTAAGCTTTTCAATAATTTCCTCTTTCTATTCCCTCCCACTTAACCTTCTTCCAACGGATACATTTTTCTTTCCTGTTTGTGTCCATAATGCGCCATAATTCTCATCCACCGTTGCAATCCACCCTAATTACCTCCATATTTCCTATAATTCTATATAATTACTAGCATTAATACTATTCTATATTATTACGTATATTATTATATATTAATACGTTTCATTTCTTCAAGTGGAATTTATTTAACGTCAATCGCTTTCCACACGGTATCCGTGTAATTACAAGATTCCAACTTCGAACAAGATTCTTTCCGACTAATATATTTCCATATTACAATTACTACCTTTCGTAATGGTGTTCTATTAGATTGCCCGATTCCATTGTACGTTCAACAGTTACACCTTTCTTAAAGCAACCATATTATTAACCTTTCAAAACTACTCCATCTGTCGTCTATTGTTTTGAAGCCGAATTTCACAATTTGTGTTCAAGGGTCGAATAAACGATGCACACATATATCTCCTAAATGTATCTTTACTTATTCTTTAGTCTCTTAGAATCCAAATAAATCCCCTCTTCTACCATCCAGACAATTATATTGCCTTACGTATTGCCTATTATCATTTTATACTCTCTTTTTATTCCTTTCTTACTTCTTTCAACTTTCACGCCTCTAACGTCTACGATCTTTTTACACATTTTATAATTTTCACAAAACTAGCCCATATTTCGACAAAATCTCACACCAAATTAACGTCGCTATTACCTTTCGCACATCCAGATTAGATACGCGCTTATTTTATTTGCGCATCTTTATTACATACCACGTCTTTTCATCCTATACTTTTACGCTTTTATCATTACCTGCTTTACGCAAAACGCTTTACATTCCTAAACAATTTTATTTACACATCTTATTTACACATTCGCACGCTACTTCGTCCTGCCCTTTCTTCGTTTCACACTTTTTCTTCCACGCTCGCACCCAACCAACGAGATTATACGTTTCCTCATTATCAGCGATTAAACGCCCTTTTTCTTCTCCTCGTTAGTCGTTCTGCTTCTCGTCATCGTTCTCCTGCTGCATCGTCCATTCGTACTTGCCGCCAATTTATGGTAACGAAAACAAACCGGTATAACCAATTTGTACAACCAATTTGACAATTAGAATTATTCTACGCGTTATATTTACCTCGATCTGCCATCGACGTACCTTTATGTTCGACTCCAGATACCAAAATATCTTACACAGTTCCGATCACGTAAAACTTTGCAGCAACCGTGGATCATGCGCTTGTCTGATGGCAAAGTGACCGCGAACAAGATGTCGGTCATGAACTACGTAGCGTTCAGATCGACCACTCCGTCCAATAAACTATTCTAGTACCTTGGAATAAATTTATCTCGTATCAAATACCCAATCAATGTCTTGCCCTTCTTACGCTGTCATATCGTCATCGTCTTACTTCCCTGTCTACCATATAGTTTTAGTGTATTATACATATACATTATTCATACATATCATATATTATATGTCGACATATGAAATAGAAGGAAGGCACGCCACAAGTTGATATCTTTTTTAACTGAAGTATGAAACTTTTTTATTTTTCATTTGTAATGAATAGAACCTTTACCAACATGTTTGTTACATGTTTCTGGTTGAAATGACACGGAGCACGATATAATTTGCGTGCTTTATGCATGAGAATCAAAATACATATCGATAAGCAAACAGAATTCGAATTATACCGTGTTTGGTCTCATTTTAATCAAGAAAGATCTTGTAAATGCGCTAGCAAAATTTAATTTAAAAAAAAATGTCAGAGACAAAAAAGTGTTCGATTTGTACTGACAGATGTACATCGTTTAAATGATATCTAAAACTTAGCCCTGAAACTTACCGACGCGTCATGTAAATTCCACATGATTGCCGCCCATTGATTACCTCCATATGGTGGGGATAACGTCCATTCCATTACCGAGAGTAGATTCTTCTCCTGCAATTGCTATCGAAGGTTTCCTTTCCAGTATTCACTTCCATCCAGGTTCGTGCACGTCTCACGATCAAAGTATCAGTGACATATTATATCTATATACTTTCAACGAAAAGCGAAAAGAAAAAATTTCAAAAAAGAAATAAGCAACTAACAAACAAACAAACTAACTAGCTGAAGCGAAAAGATGGGGAGAGAGTAATATGTTCGACAAAGTTAGATTTTAAGCTTTTTTTATTGTACTTATTGACAAGTACTATTAATACATGACTGAAATTGCACAGTAAAAGTTAAATATTACAAGAAATCCAATGTGCGCTCTTACTTTAGAGCAGTGACAGATTATAATTTTTATCGTTTTTGTATAGCGATCATGACACTTGCTTCTTTAAATTTAAATTCTTTATTTTTTAAATTACATTATTTTTAAATTAGATTAAATTATTTAAATTTTTTAAATTACAATCAAGTTATGAAATACTATATATACCATGTCAGAACGTATGTCGGAATTTCATGTCGCTGAAATAAATAGTTGAAATAATAAAATAGCGAATAAAATGGATAACAAGTACAAGTAAAACTACAACAAGAAGAAAGTAGAACTAATCGAAACTGACCTCCTTATTTTATTCTATTCGCTCGTGCACGAACAAGAATAAAAGTGAATACTGGGAAGGAACCGCAAATAATAATTGCAGAAAAAGAACCTCTCGGTAATCGCGTGGTCGTCATCCCCATCACAGGGGGCAGGCCCTTTCCCTTAACGCGCCGATAAGCTCAACGGTTGAGCAGCATGTAACATGATCCAGTGTCAGATAACGCTGATACAATGTATACAGGTACCAATTTAAAAGTGAAACGTTTTTATCCTTCACTTTTCTTCAAATCAAACTGTTACTGACTACATATGTATTTGTGGCATTTTCCTAGTTAAAGTGAGACCAAATACGGTATAATTCGAATTCTACTTACTTATCGATATGTATCTAATCACCATTTATAAAGTAAGCAAATACGTCCGCAAATTATATCGCGCTTGGTGTCATTTCAATCAGAAACATGTAACAAACATGTCGGTAAAAGCTCCATTCATCGCAAATAAAAAATGAAGGAGTTTGATTTCTCAATTAGAAAAGAGTCACAGCTAGTCACGGTCCTTTATATTTTACATTTTATTATGTTGCGATACGCTTCGACTCACAGTCCCTCTTCTTCTTTCAGTTTCTTCATCTTTCGCGTTGTCCTTTCTTACGCTCCCCGTATCTACCGTCCCATCGTCAATGTTCAGTGCTTCTGTGCACTGAATCGTTTCTACCTCTATACTACTCTCCAATTGCAGAGCTTGGATCACCGCATCATAAAATACTTGCAAGTGTTGCAGATTTCCTGGATGTGATTTATTTGGTTGATATGTAATTATTATTATAAGTTATTACAGCATAATAAGTAATTAAGGTATGTATTTATTTGAAAAAGCTAGAAAAATGCGGTCACTGGCATAGTTTGCGTCGCTTGAAAATCATTTGAGATCAGCAGTGATGTAGTACAGTTTTCCTTTGACGCATGCAGAAACTGGATGGCCGAATAATATGATCTGATCCAGATTCAAATATCGATGAGACAATAATGAAACAATACCAATGTAATAGTGAAATTTGTTTATACTTTACTCTTTTAAAATTAAACTTTCGCTAATGAATTTGTGAAATTTGTGATTATATAGTTGTGATTATATAGAGATTATATATTTGTGATTAATAAGTTGCTATCGCTCGTAAATAAGCCGCCGCCTCCTCCATCGATATCCGAATCATACAAAAACTGTATCTCCTGGATAAGGAGCACCCAACCCACACGTGTTAGCGACTACGTTATTTTCAGCTAGCGGAGTCAAACAAAATATGTACAAGAAATTTACGTGGCCAACGCGATCGCGACTGAGGGGCGAGAGCGTTGTCGAAGTGAACGTTCCCCCACCCTTGCCCAAAGAACAAGGTAGCTGATAAAACGAAAGCGGAGATGATCCTTGCATTAAAAATCAGTGCATTAAAAATCGCTTGTAACGCTGAGCGAAGAGAGCGAGTTATCTTGTCTTGTAAGAACAAATTGTTCCTTTCCCCGCGTTTTCCTGTCGTTAAATAGTTCGCTTCAACTCTTTATTTTGTCTCGTTGTTAATTTCTCTCCAACTTTCATTAGCCGTTCTTTCAAGTTTCCAATATCACGTTTGCAATAATTATGTCGATATTTGTCATTTATAACAATAATTTCATGAATCTAAAATAATTATACGTAGGACGCAGGATAAAGAAACGGTCGTTTAAATAGAGATCGTTACTTTAATAAACTGATTGTTCGTTAAAACAAACGGATGCGCCCCGTCCGCATCCGCCTTTCTCGAGACGTAACAAGGAACTGAAGTCTCTGTCTCTCTCTCATCCTTTCGTCGCTCGTTTGCCGTTCGTTTTTCGTCTGTTTGCCGCCCTTTTGTCGCCCGTTCGCCGCCCTTTTGTCGCCCGTTCGCCGCCCTTTTGCCACCGTTAACGAAAAACAAACGCGTTCGCGCGACAACGCGCACACAGCCATCTACGCTTTATCAACGTCAAGCAAACCTGCACATTGGGTGACCACTTGCCGACCATGGGTCTTTTTAATTTCAATCGCTACATGATCGGTCGCGGAATTTTCCGTGTTCGATCTTGATTCGCCAATCGGACAATTATCTCAACGTTTCTTTGAATAAATGAAATTGAATAATGGAAAAATGGAAAAATGGAGAAATGGGAAAATGGAAAAGTGATCGTTGCCTTACTCTACTGCAATGGATAACACGTCAACTATCTCTTTCTTTACAATTACAGATTACCATCTGGTGTACATTGGTGGGCGTATAAATAATTACTTGTAAATTCAACTAATTGCATCGTGAAACGTTTCGCTTTTATGTTTCTTCCATAACGTTATAGGACTTAAAAGGATAGATTGCATATATTTTTGCAAGCATTGTGAATATGGTCCGCACCGTATCCTCTAATATGTTACAGGCACTATGTTTATGTTTAGATAATTGTATTATGGATTACAAAATCAGGTCTACAGAATTACATATGCTTGTCGATTGCCTGTATGTATGCTATGTGTCTAACGAACTAGTAACATTTTCATCAGTAATTAAGATTGTATATTGTTTGACTTCTCTTAATAATATTGTTGATCCTGTGTTTGTGTGTTTGATATCTTAATGCATTTTTGTATTACTAAAGATTATTAAAATACATAGTTGTTCGATACGTAATTTTATCATGATTTTTCTCCATCTACATGGACATCGCTCTAATTATGTAATACGATAAATTATATTGTACATGTATACCGTTAGTTATATTATGGAATATAAATATTTTGCTATAAATCGAGGAGCGCAGAAATGTTTCCCATAGCTAACGGTTCTCAGGTTTCGCCGTCTGATTAACCGTTTAGTATATTCGATATACTATATGATATCTATAATATGCCATATATAATGCATAAATAACTATATTACCACCTATATAAATTCTGGGTTATGAAACTAAAAATACGAAATTCTTTCCTATATCTAATCAGGTATCAGCTATCACGCTACCTGACATACATATGATAACCATACATATATATGATAAATATATATGGATATAAATGTGTGTGTGCGTGTGTGCGTGCATGCATGCATATACAATAACTACACGAGTAATTATAATATGGACGATTAGTTAGCAAACTATGAGATCAGAAGCACTGAATTTTTTTCCTACGCCTAATATTCACCATATTGCATTGCATCTATCAACTTGTCCGTTGAAACGTATTCGCACATTTATTCAAACCGATTATTATCATTTGGATAAACATTACATCGTATAAGTTACATTGAACACGGCATGAAAGCGAAAAGGTATCCGCAAAGTTTTCGCGGGTTTGTCCAATATCGAACATCTTTCTCTGTTGCGTCGCGGTGCGTTTTGACGTCGGGCCTCCAACGCTCGAACATTTCGGGTTCGGTGTTTCTATTCCTGGAGCGGGTTGACTCCTCGCTCGGCTCCTACGGGAGGTGCTATGCCCTGGCTAGCAAACACGAGCAGTCGACCGGAGTCGTGTCGGATCTAACGTGTTTTTACGTGGCATGTGGAAGCCGTGCGCGCGTGCTAACTAATCTTAAATAAAAAACGCTGGTTCATTTCTTGGAACAAGAAACTCTCCATCTTACTCGTCAAATTGAATTGTCTACGTTCTTTCTTTGGTTTCTCTCTTTAAAACACAGAGAATTATCAAGTTGAATATACAT